AAAGATTTTTGCTCCAAATTTCTCATAAACCATGACCTGTCTGTCGGACAGCCAACCCTGCAACTTCACCTGTCCGAGCTGAATTTTTACCTGTCCCGGACAGGCGCTAATGTATTAAATAGCGTTGCATCTTTTCTGACATTTTCTCTTGCCGCATGGATACATTTATTTATAAATGATCACGACTGCTACTATTCTTCAGTCAAAATAACATGAAGGATTGACTATTTATTATATTTCTCCAAAAATATAGATAAAGCAAACAAATCTCACAGAATTACATTGATGACGAAACTAATAAGCGGATGTTGATATTCGAAACTTGTCAGTACGCAGGTCCCGCGCCCTCAACATAAGATGTTATACTTGTATTACTGCGCCAGGCAGAATAAAAATAAACAACTTAACGCGCACACAGTCGTTTTTATTTTACGGTTTACGTCGCGACTGTCAGGAATAAAGGCATTAAAGGCATTGGTCACACACACACTCTTAAAGGGTATCGGAGTTCAAAGAAGCGTATCGGCAAAAAAAGAAGCGTATCGGCAAAAAAAATAGCGTATCGGGGCCGATACGCTATAAAGGCCTGGGGAGAACCCTGAAAATAAAGAGTCAGTGTCTTAGGGAAATTTGTAAAATGTTAGATTCATGATATTTCATGTAATTATGTTTGATTTTTACCATTTTGATAGATCTCCTTGGAGAGAATGCAGGAGGCCCTGGCAATGCTCTGGGATTTCAGTTTTATGGTGGTGTAGTGGTCACAATGTTAGCATCCAAAACATCACGTAAGGAATTTTATTCTATCTTTTGTGATATATAACTGATTTGGGAGTCACAAAAATGTATTGACAATTTATTTAAAAAATGATAGTATATAACCTGAAAAAATTGAAATACTGTTATTATGGGATTTTTTGTTAATGAATTATCATCACTATCTGTGTATCAAGTTGCCTCAATTTTTGTTTTAGAGCGCTACCGACTACAAAGTGATGTCTTTCAAGCCATGTGGATTATGACAAATGAATTAGTAAAGAGACTAGAAAAGTATTTCATGGCCCGTCGTGCTACAGACTTTCAGTGCTCCTTCTCGGGAACCATGCCTCTTGCAGAATACTTTGATGTGGTTGATCACCATTTTGAAGTAAGAAGAAAAAAATTGTACATCTGTAAATTGTGGTGTCTTTTTTAAACTTTGCTAACACCTTTGAACATTTTTTGCTTAGTTAGTCCTGGTGTCTCTGGCCACCTGATGTGGTCATTCCTAAAGTCTATTTGACTCACAGGGTATAATGTATTTATTTTAGCTACATCATGTGAAGACCAATCAACTTAGAATAATATCGGTATCTTCATTTGCTTTTATGCCATAATCCATTACAGATTTTTCATGCTTGATGGAACATCTTTTTTATCAGAAAAGTCATTTTTAGTGGCACACAGTGAGACACTTTTAAGATGTTAGAATTACAGAAAGTGAGAGATCATAAGCATGGAATTTCAGTTCTATTTCAAAATTATGTTACTCTTGCTTTATTATTATTATTATTATTATTCCACTCCAGGTAAGGTTAAAAGATCTCCAAATGAAAGAAGTATTGGGACAGAGAGCAGCACAGTTTCGAGCAATTCAGAGACGCCTTCTGACCAAGTTTAAGGACAAGACACCATCCCCTCTTGCTAACTTAGACACTCTGTTGGATGGCACTTATAGACAGGTAACCCACCCTTGGGATTGTTACAATACAGCAGCTGTATCAACATGCTATCATGACATGTTTGATCTTCTATGACATATGGTAANGAATATTCTATGAGTAATTTTTCTAGTACTTATGTTCATTATATAAAGATGGTAATGCACTAACTGTATTGTATCATTTGTATTTCATATTGTACAAGGTCATGACAATCTATATGTACCAATACAGAAATAAATTGAAATTGAAATTGAACTAATGGATTAATTGGTCTGTTCTTAACTGTCAGTTCTAATGCCTATAACACTGTTGTTAATGAGATATGTAGTTATGCATTACTTAAATTAAAAATAAAGTAGCCAGCTCTCTACCAGTACATATAGCATATGACAATTTACACTACATTTTTCATTCAAATATAAGGTGTGTAATAGATTCTACCACATCCAGACAGAAATACCAAATTTCAAAGAGAGACACCACCTACTAGTAGCTTATACTTACTCTTGCAGGTAATGTGTAGTTATATACAGCAGTATCCTCCTGGATTGTTTCAAGGCATCCTCAAACATATCCTTTACTCTAACTCGATGTAGAGGGTTACTTTCAATCAACATACAAGTCATCCCTTGTCCTGCTAAATCTGGTAAAAATGTAAAATATATGTTATATATTCAACTCCAGAAACACATGCATTTCACTGAAATTTACTTAATATATCCAATTTAAATTAACTGACAATGTAATACCTATATATCATTTATCTATAGAGGGTGCTTCTTATTTACTGGTACACATAAGTAACTTACATTCAACAAAATGACCTGCCCCCAACATGTATGTGATTGGGAAATAATTTTTATACTATAACTTTACATGTTACATGTTGAATGGCCATAAAACATTTCTTAGTTCAAAGTATTAAACTGAGTTTTACTCATTTCCACAAACCTTGAGATAGTTGTTCTACCTCCATTTCGTCTCTTTTGTCATAAAAAATGGACACATCATATTTTTCCACTGGAAATACACAAGTTATTTACTTATTATACTCATATTTCACATACTTTGATTGACAGATGTAGCCAAGATCACATTTGCTCTCAGCAGATAATCACAAAAGTCCACCAGGTCTAAATTATGCCAGTTCCAATTCATTCACACATAAGATATCACTACATAAAAACAAGCAGAGTTTGACTTTTAAATCACAAAATATTCAAAATATTTTAGTGGTTAATTACAAGGCAGACATTCCCATAGTTTTATAATGTTTTATTTATCTCCTCAATAGTATATTTTCTGGTGGAGCATCCCACCCTTTCAAACAGCAACTTTGCCTGTAGTGTTTGCATTTGGTGGTACAATCAATGTGAAAAAAACTAGTCAACATATCAGTGACAGGGGCGGATTTAGGCCGTCTTCTGGGTCTTCCAGAAGACGGTCAGATTTTCAAGTTTACATTGACAAGTATCTAATTTTTTCTGTTGGAAGACGGTCAAAATTGGAGGGTGAATCAACAAAGATAATTTGGAAGACTGTCAGAAAATAGCTCTGGATCCGCCCCTGAGTGATATCAAACTATCAAACTCAGGGTGACAAGTAAATGTATGGTAAGCTGACAGAGACAGTTACTGTAATAAATAACATTTTAATACTCAGGGATATTACCTTTGATCCTCATTGACAAATGTTTCAAAAACCCTTCCTTTCTGCTATCTATGGGTATCAAATGTCTCAAGGGCAAAGGTAATTTTCTCTGTTCTTCACTGGTGATGTCTCCATATACAGGGATGACCACTTTTTCCTGTGGCATTGCTTCATGCTTTAATCTTTTTGCTTCATACTTCCAAGAAAATCTAAAATAAAGAACCATAATTTATGTGAATTTTGTCATATTAAATGATGTAGGAAAGAAAGGCATTTTCAGAATTTATTAACAAAAGCAAAGAATTGACATAGAAAACAGTTTCAATTAGAATTCATAAATGATGACAAGAATACACTCTTACAACCTACCACATACTACGAAAATATATTTCAAAAAGTTTTTTTCTAAAAATAGCATAAGTTTCTTTCAAAAAGCATTCTTAATCTGCAAAAATTGGGCTTGTTCCCCTTTGGGTTCATCAGTAAACAATTATTCCACAATTAACTTCTATTAATGGATTAATTTGTGTGTTCTTAACTGTCATTTCTAATGCCTATAACACTGCTGTTAATGAAATGTCAAGTTATGCATTACTTAAATTAAAAATAAAGTAGCCAGCTCTCTACTAGTACATATAGCATATGGCAATTTGTACTACATTCAGATATAAGGTGTGTAATAGATTCTACCACATCCAGACAGAAATACCAAATTTCAAAGAGAGACAACACCTAGCTTATACTTACTCTTGCAGGTAATGTGTAGTTATGTACAGCAGTATCCTCCTGGATTGTTTCAAGGCATACTCAAACATATCCTCTACTCTAACTCCAAGTAGATGGTCACTTTCAATCAACATACAAGTCATCCCTTGTCCTGCTAAATCTGGTAAAATGTAAAATATATGTTATATTTTCAACTACAGATATACTTAGATGCATTTCACTGGAACTTATACTTAATGTATCCAATTACAATTTAATGTAATATAGATTATTTACCCGTAGAATATGCCTCTTATTTAGTAGTAAGTAATATAATTAACTTACATTCAACAATATGACCTGCCTCCAAAATCCATGATATTGAAAAACAATTTCTAAATTATAACTTTATTGTCACATGTTGAATGGCCATAAACTATTCCTTAGTTCAAAGTATTAAACTGAGTTTTACTCATCTCCACAAACCTTGAGATAGTTGTTCTACCTCCATTTCATCTCTTTTGTCATAAAAAATGGACACATCATATTCTTCCCCTGGAAATTCACATTGTCAAGTTATTTACTTATTATACTCATCTTTCACACACTTTGATTGACAGATGTAACCAAGATCCCATTTGCTCTCAGCAGATAATCACAAAAGTCCACCAGGTCTAAATTATGCCAGTTCCAATTCATTCACACAAAAGATATCATTACATTAAAACAAGCATAGTTTGACATTTTATCACAAAATATTCAAAATATTTTAGTGATTAATTATAAGGCACACACTCCCAAAGTTTTAAATGTTTTATTCATCTCCTCAATAAAATATTTTCTGGTGGAGCATCCCACCCTTTCAACAGCAACTTTGCCTGTAGTGTTTGCATTTGGGGGTACAATCAATGTGGAAAAAACTGGTCAATATATAAGTGATATCAAACTATCAAACTCAGGGTAACAAGTAAATGTATGGTTAGCTGACAGCGACAGTCACTGTAATAAACAGTATTTTTAATACTCAGAGAGATTACCTTTGATCCTCATTGACAAATGTTTCAAAAATCCTTCCTTTCTGCTATCTATGGGTATCAAATGTCTCAAGGGCAAAGGTTCTATTCTCTGTTCTTCACTGGTGATGTCTCTATATACAGGGATGACTTGTTTTTGCTGTGACATTACTTCATACATTATCCTTTCTGTTTCATACCTCCAAAAACGACTAAAATAAAGGCACATAATTTATGTGAATTTTGCCATATTAAAAGGTGTGTGTGTGTGTGTGTGTGTGTGTGTGTGTGAGTGAGAGAGAGAGAATTGACATAGAAAAAAAAACAGTTTCAATTAAAATTCATAAATGATGCCAAGAATACACTCTTACAACCTACCACATACTACAAAAAATATATTTTAAAAAGGTTTTTTTTTAAGATAGCATAAGTTTCTTTCAAAAAAGCATTCTTATTCTGCAAAAATTGGGCTTGTTCCCCTTTGGGTTCATCATTAAACAAAAATTTCACAATTAACTTCTATTAATGGCTTAATTTGTGTGTTCTTAACTGTCATTTCTAATGCCTATAACATTGTTGTTAATAAAATATCAAGTTATGCATTACTTAAAGCAATAATAACTCTTCCTTTGAGATTCAAAATTCCGCATGAAATACATTGTAAACAACGCATGGAAATATATTCTATTGTATTTTACCACTAAAACGGCCGTTATTGTAATAAAACTAAAATCTGTGCTTGTCAATAGGGCTTTCGATGCTTTTCTTCCCATTCATCAAGGCGTTCGTTGCTAATGACGTAATGGTGTCACGCGGATTCTCGCGTTCATTAGAGACCAAAATAACATTTGGCGCCAAACGCATTAATGCAGACGCAGACGTAAGTTGCAAGTTTTTGTACAGTGCGTTGGATAATGAAAAGCCCAGAATGGCACACATTGTGGATATTAATGTATTTTTAACAAAAAGGCGTATATATCTCATGAATCTTGTATAGTGTTGTTGTTGTCTGCTTTTCCCGCAGTTTTAAGAAGGTCAACAGTGACTATGCGATGTCAGAGAGAGCTCCGTCAGTTAAAATCTCTTAAGAGATTTTAACAAAAACCCGTATGTTTAGGAAAAAAACCCTGGATTAACTTTGAATGCAGGAATGGGGTCGCTGACCATTGGTAAGTACGGGAAAATTGCCTTTTACTCCAGGAAAATCCAATTTTTGGCCAAAATGAAGATTATTATGACTTTAAATAAAACAAGGCAGCAAAGCTGTCAAATGTACAGACAAAAAGCAGGAAATAACAAAATAGGCTACTGTCAATTCTGATGTAAAAGTACATTATGTTAAACTGCAAATTCAACATCAAATTTTAATTATGCTCAACAGGTAATACCAATGTAAGTAAAATGTGTAANGAATATTCTATGAATAATTTTTCTAGTACTTATGTTCATTATATAAAGATGGTAATGCACTAACTGTATTGTATCATCATTTGTATTTCATATTGTACAAGGTCATGACAATCTATATGTACCAGTACAGAAATAAATTGAAATTGAAATTGAACTAATGGATTAATTGGTCTGTTCTTAACTGTCATTTCTAATGCCTATAACACTGTTGTTAATGAAATGTCAAGTTATACACTACTTAAATTAAAAATAAAGTAGCCAGCTCTCTACCAGTACATATAGCATATGACAATTTACACTACATTTTTCATTCAAATATAAGGTGTGTAATAGATTCTACCACATCCAGACAGAAATAACAAATTTCAAAGAGAGACAACACCTAGCTTATACTTACTCTTGCAGGTAATGTGTAGTTATGTACAGCAGTATCCTCCTGCGTTGTTTCAAGGCATACTCAAACATATCCTCTACTCTAACTCCAAGTAGAGGGTCACTTTCAATCAACATACAAGTCATCCCTTGTCCTGCTAAATCTGGTAAAATGTAAAATATATGTTATATTTTCAACTACAGATATACTTACATGCATTTCACTGGAACTTATACTTAATGTATCCAATTAAAATTTAATGTAATATAGATTATTTACCAGTAGAATATGCCTCTTATTTAGTAGTAAGTAATATAATTAACTTACATTCAACAATATGACCTGCCTCCAACATCCATGATATTGAAAAATAATTTCTAAATTATAACTTTATTGTCACATGTTGAATGGCCATAAACTATTTCTTAGTTCAAAGTATTAAATTGAGTTTTACTCATCTCCACAAACCTTGAGATAGTTGTTCTACCTCCATTTCGTCTCTTTTGTCATAAAAAATGGACACATCATATTCTTCCCCTGGAAATTCACATTGTCAAGCTATTTACTTATTATACTCATCTTTCACATACTTTGATTGACAGATGTAGCCAAGATCACATTTGCTCTCAGCAGATAATCACAAAAGTCCACCAGGTCTAAATTATGCCAGTTCCAATTCATTCACACAAAAGATATCATTACATTAAAACAAGCATAGTTTGACATTTTATCACAAAATATTCAAAATATTTTAGTGATTAATTATAAGGCACACATTCCCAAAGTTTTAAATGTTTTATTCATCTCCTCAATAAAATATTTTCTGGTGGAGCATCCCACCCTTTCAACAGCAACTTTGCCTGTAGTGTTTGCATTTGGTGGTACAATCAATGTGGAAAAAATGGTCAATATATAAGTGATATCAAACTATCAAACTCAGGGTAACAAGTAAATGCATGGTAAGCTGACAGTGACAGTCACTGTAATAAACAGTATTTTTAATACTCAGAGAGATTACCTTTGATCCTCAATGACAAATGTTTCAAAAATCCTTCCTTTCTGCTATCTATGGGTATCAAATGTCTCAAGGGCAAAGGATCTATTCTCTGTTCTTCACTGGTGATGTCTCCATATACAGGGATGACTTCTTTTTGCTGTAACATTACTTCATACATTATCCTTTCTGTGACATACCTCCAACTAAAATAAAGGCACATAATTTATGTGAATTTTGCCATATTAAATGACGTATAGGAGAGAAAGACATTTTCAGAATTCATTGACAAAACAAAGAATTGGCATAGAAAAAGAGTTTCAATTAGAATTCATAAATGATGCCAAGAATACTCTCTTACAACCTACCACATACTACAAAAAATATATTTTTAAAAGTTTTTTTCTAAAGATAGCATAAGTTTCTTTCAAAAAGCATTCTTATTCTGCAAAAATTGGGCTTGTTCCCCTTTGGGTTCATCAGTAAACAATAATTTCACAATTAACTTCTATTAATGGATTAATTTGTGTGTTCTTAACTGTCATTTCTAATGCCTATAACACTGCTGTTAATGAAATGTCAAGTTATGCATTACTTAAATTAAAAATAAAGTAGCCAGCTCTCTACTAGTACATATAGCATATGGCAATTTGTACTACATTCAAATATAAGGTGTGTAATAGATTCTACCACATCCAGACAGAAATACCAAATTTCAAAGAGAGACAACACCTAGCTTATACTTACTCTTGGAGGTTATGTGTAGTTATATACAGCAGTATCCTCCTGGATTGTTTCAAGGCATAAGAAATCATATCCTTTTCTCTCAATCCATGTAGAGGGTCACTTTCAATCAACATACAAGTCACCCCTTGTCCTGCTAAATCTGGTAAAAATGTGAAATATATGTTATATTTTCAACTACAGATATGTATGCATTTCACTGGAACATACTTAATGTATTCAACTTATATTTAATATAATACAAACCATTTACCTGTACAATGTGTTTCTTATTAAGGGGTAAGTACTATATTATATATCTTTACCTGTACCTTTATTTTACATTCTTTAATGTGACCTGCTTCTGACTTCCATGTGATTCTGACATATTTTTCCATATTATCACTTTACTATTACATATTCGTGTCTACATTTGAAATGGCCATCAATCATTTCTTATATCAAAGTATTAAACTGAGTTATACTGATCTTCACAAACCTTTAGACAGTTTTTCTACCTCCTGTTTGTCTTCTCTGGCATAAAAAATGGAAACAACATATTTAATATCTTCTCCTGGAAAAAAACGTAGGTTATTTACTTATTATACTCATCTTCCACAAACTTTGATTAGCAGATGTAGCCAAGATCATATTTGCTCTCAGCATATAATCACAAAATTCAACTGTGTCTAAATTATGCCACTACCAATTCATTCACAAAAAAGATACATCAGACACATACTCTTTCATTCCAAATATATACAAAGTCTTTTTCAATCAATATACAAGTCACCCTTTGAGTTGCTGAATCTGGTAAACAAATGCAAAATATGAGTTATATTTTCAACTCCATATGCACATGTATTTGCTGGAATTAACTGAATGTATATTATATTCCCTAACCTTTACTTTTTACATTTTACAATACATGCACAATTTTGACCAGATTTCCTTTGCTGAGAATGTTAAATAATATATAACTATTTCTGTTACGGTAGCAATTTACATGGCATTAATACATTTCTTTCAAAGTAATAAACCGGGTTACACTCATCTGTACAGACCTTTCAATAGATGTTCTATCCCCTTTTTATACTTAGTGCCAAATGCTATGGGCACATCATGCTCCACTTCTCTCACTTTCTCTCCCATCACTGGAAATACACAAGTATTATATGAATGCTTCTTATTTAGGTAAGTAAAATGTTACATATTATTACATAACCTTTAACTTACATTCTATAATACAACTTTTACCAGACTTCCTTCACTGAGATTGTGTAATATTTTATATTAGAACATCACTGCTACTGCAGCAATTGAAATGGCATTAATATATATATATTTTTTTTTTTTGGTTCAAAGAACTGAACTGGGTTATATTCATCTCCACAAACCTTTCAATAGTTGTTCTTTTTTCTTTTTATCCTTAGTGCCAAAGGCTATGGGCACACCATGCTCCTCTTCTCTCACTTTCTCTGCCATCACTGGAAATACAAAGGATGACATGAAATTAAAATAAAAAAATAAAATAAAAAAATCAAATCAAATAAAAAAAATAATAATAAAATAAATTAAATCCAAATAATGGTGCTTCGTGGGGTGTATATATATCAAAATGTATGACTCTATTGCAAGCATATACAATTACAGCAATCATGGCTTAACTCACACATCACTTCCGACAGTTTGTTACATTAGGATTTTTCTCTTATCCACTAAGATAATACAGAAATATTCATGGTCATGATGTGAGATAATGCTGTTGCATCAAATACAGGGGCGGCTCCAGAGATATTTTCTGACAGTCTTCCAAATTATCTTTGTTGATCCATCTTCCATTTTTGACCATCTTCCGGCAGAAAACATTAGATGGCTGACAATGTAAACTTGAAAATCTGACCGTCTTCCAGAAGACCCAGAAGACGGCCTAAATCCGCCCCTGAAATATTATGTAGCATGTAGAAAAAAGGACTCCGTCATGCAGTATTTGATATACAGCATGTCATGTATTAATGCTGCACCCCTACTCCAGTAACTTCAACTTGAAGCCCAGTGTCTGTATATAGAATCATATAGCTAGCTATCATCACAAACCTTGCAAAAACAAAACTTATGTAGTCATGCATTTTTAATTTAATTTAAAATTCAATTTCAGGAAGCATGATCTACCGAAAACTCACATCATGCCAAAAATGAAACTTACATTTTAACAACCTTTCCAAAGGAAAAAGATTAAACTTACACAAGAAAATGTTGGGTGTTTTGTATCACGGCCCTGTTCAAGGAATAATACAGACATTGCAAGCTTGCAATGGCTATCGAGTAGTGGAAAAGACTGTGGGCCATTTATACAAACCTGTTGAGAGAATCTATACATATAAATTTCTCACAAGTGCCTATTTAAAGTTCAACAATGTTTATTAGGAATAAGATGCGAGAAAATATATCAATGTCTCCAAGTACATGTACTTTGAATCAACAGTGAATCAGTGAACAACTATTCTGTTACCAGGACCGTTCTGAGTCTTTTCTATATAGCTACAACCTTTGTACTGTCATCACAACATTCCAATCAGGAAAACTACATCTTTTACTGCATGTCCAGCACTTTTATTAAAAACTAAAAGGGATAACAATTATAACTGTTCATTTTGGCCTAAAAAATGGAGTTTCCGGGGTAAAGGACAATTTTCTCATACTTACCAATGGATCTATTCCCTCATTCAAAGTTAATACCTGCTTTTTTTTGTTTTTTTTCCTAAAAAGTTTGGTTTTCTGTAATATTCTCTTAAGAGATTATTACAGAGTCTAGCCATCTATGGAGGTCACGTGATGTGATAGCAAACACAAATTCTAAAATAATTGCGTTAATCACCGTTTTGGGTGGTAAAATGGAATTTATAATATTTCTATGAGCTGTTTACAGTGCATTGTTGAGAAATATGGGTAATTTACGAACAGCTGTTATCTCTTTAAAGAGATAATTACTCGGTACGACCTCATAACGTATGTGACTTTGAAAGCGAAAGTAGCTCATAAAGTTGTAGTTTATATACTCTGTCGCCTTTTCTTCGCCATCCAGGCGCTTCTTACTATTACACAATGTATCTACGTGATATGTGCAAGATGACGTTTATAAAGTCTTAGATACCTTATCGCAACAGGCTGTTCTTTCCTATCAGTTTGACCTCCCAGCTCTCTGATATGCGGAATCTAAGGTAAACAACATCAATGTAGGTCATGGCCAAAGTATGACGTAGAGCGATGACGTATACCAAGGGTTGTATATAAAATAGAACCTGGCACAGAGTCAGCACACGAACGAAACGTAGTGCCTCGATATGAAACCAGACAACTTTTGTGTTTTTAATCTCCAAATACGAAAAATAATCAATTAAGCTAATAAATAAGCTAACGTTAAGAACATATTATATCGTTTGTTTTATATTAATTATTATTTAAGATCATAATAATAAACAAGTTGCATTTCGATGTACTCCACGCTATGACCTTTATATAAAAATAGCAATTTTTACGAGATTAAAAATTGTATCGCATTGTTTGGTTCCATTGCCTCGCTTTCAAAAATTAAAACAGGCGCTCCAATATCGTAAAACGAAGTTAAAAATTTTATATTGGCCGAGTTCCCCCACTGTTAAGAATATCCTCGCAGCATTAACTGCAGTTAACCTTCCTACGATTTTCAATGTATTTTGCAATATAATTTACAATCCTCCAGATGAAGAATTTTTTTAATCAAGAGTGGGGGAGGGGTGGAAAATCCCCTTGGGGCCACATATAACACTATAAATGCGAAGGGAATCCCCCTTACAATGGCGGCAATTATGAATGTTAATCAGGAAAGTTCGATGGATTTGCTTTTTAAAACATACAATCAACAGAATATTTCTAATATAATTTCTTAAAACAACACCAGAAAGCAAATGAAATCAAATCAACCAGACGGTAAACACCGACAGGCTTTGTCAATTTCACCATTTGTTTATTTCAAACAGCGTACTGTTCGCGCATGTGCAGTAGTTTGAGACCTGTGTGCTCCTGTGCTCACAGAGTCTCAAAATGTCACGTGCACTCCAGCGCGGACCTTTTATATCTTTTTTGATCAAATGTATGATGATTTGATATAGTTTGTACGTTTACTACGTGTCTTTATGTAAGAGGTTTTTTATTTGCATATTATATTAATGCGTTCTATCCCATTTTTGTATTTTTATACTCAGTGGTCTTAATTATATATATAAAGGTGACCGAAAAACTTACTAATTTTATTTAAATAGACAGGTTTATGTTCCCTCGTGTATGAAGGGAAGGGGTACAGGTGTGACGGAAATGGAAGTCCTGGTGTACCTTTAAGTGATGGGGAATGGACTACGTAAGGTTCCCAGTTCAGGGGCGGGTCCAGTATTATTCATGAAGGGGGGAGGGGGGTCCTGAACGACAAGCCTCGGATGCGAAGCTGATTATCGCTCCCAATTTTTTGTTTTTGGATGCCAAACGGTGCCTTTGGTATGGTTTAGAACTATGATTCAGCTAGTCAAAATTCTAATTTCCAAGAGGGGAACATTGGTGTTATATTTTTCAGAAATCGGAGGGGGGAGGGGGAGCTCACGACCCCCCTGACCCCCCTCCCCTCTAAATCCGTCTTTCCAGTGCATTACCAAACCTGTCCATCGCGGTTAGTGCTCCCAGTACAAAGCGATGAGGCTACCATTCCTGTCAGTATATGTTGACAGTCCCTGTAGTAAGAGAGCAGGGTAGGCAACCGATATGTGACAGACTGCTGATTGGATGTGATTGTAAAGTAAGCTACTGGGTGCATGATGCATCGTAGGGTTTATAACAAGACAGGATAAACGAGACAAATATTTATATATATAGTCTTTATCCTTTTCCTCATCAATTCTAATTTTTTTTTTTTTTTTTTTTTTTTTTTGGAGGGGGGGGAGGTGGAGGTCAAGGGATTTTCTTGCCAAATTAATGTGTAGAAATTATCTCCATGCTTTTGAAAAATCGCCCATAGTCATATATTCGAGTCTTATAAAGCTTCTTGTATTCCCACTGTATTTCTCAATTAAAACCCTCAAGACAATAAAACCCTGATTCAGATAAAGATTATCAGAGGTGTACTTCGTTTTTGTTTTTTTTTTTCCTTTTAAGCCTGTCTTTCGACTGTATTTCTCAATTAAAACCCTCAAGACAATAAAACCCTAATATACATAAAGATTATCAAATGTGTACTTCATTTATCTTTGTTTTTTATTTTTTATTTTTTATTTTTTTCTTTTCCTTTTAAAGATGCATACAAAGTCAATTTTTTGTCACAAAAACCAACCAAATGCCAGCATATAGTTTCAAGTAGCATAACTAAGAGAATTACCAAAAGGCATTGTTTAATTTTACCCGAAAATGATGTTTGAACAGATTTTTCTGCTGGCATTCTAAGCTGTATGTCTGTCGTGTATGGCCCTGATATTCGTGGAATATACAGAGTAACACTCTAGTTTTTTAGACAGCAAATTAAAGTCCGTGCGGTTTGGAAACCATGCTTTATTGAACAAACTAAAACAGAGATTTCTACTTGGAACGCATAAGGGTGCTACAAAAATAAGGAATATGCGGAACACGACATTCCTCCCCCTTTAGTTAAAACTACTGTTTACTATAATATAGTGCTGATAAATTCTAAAATGAGAAGTCTTTTTAGTTGCAAATAAAGAAAATGCGATTATAACATGTCCATATAACAGTTTTAAGAACAATCAAGTTAAGGTCCATGCCTGATGATGCTTGTTAAGAAATGTCAATTATGCTCCAGTCAGCAGAGGATGTATGCCTGTAAGTAAACTTGTTAAAGGTCCAACATGACTGTTTGTAATAATTAAACAGGCATTTAAAGTCTAAATGCCAACATTTGTATGACAAATATCCTTGTAAGATAAAGTTCATTAAAAAAATAATAAAATAAAACTGAAAATCAGAAAGTTTTTTTTTTTTTTTTTTTTTTAAAANACGGCGACATGAACGGCGACGACAGACGCAGGTGATGGCAATATGTACAGACACATCTGTGTCTGTACATAAAAATTAAGTAGCCAGCTCTCGACCAGTTCATATAGCATATGGCAATTTGCACTACATTCAAATATAAGGTGTGTAATAGATTCTACAACATCCAGACAGAAATAACAAATTTCAAAGAGAGACAACACCTAGCTTATACTTACTCTTGCAGGAAATGTGTAGTTATATACACCAGTATTCTCCTGGATTGTTTCAAAGCATAATCAAACATATCCTTTACATTCATTCCAAGTAGGGGGTCAATTTCAAGCAACATACAAGTCACCCCTTGTCCTGCTAAATCTGGGAAAAATTTTAATTATATGTTATATTTTCAACTACAGATATACTTACATGCATTTCACTGGAACTTATACTTAATGTATCCAATTACAATTTCATGTAATATAAGTCATTTGCCTGTAGAATGTGTTTCTTATTAAGTAGTAAGCACTATATTATATTTCTTTACCTTCATTTTACATTCTTTAATATGACCTGCCTCTGACTTCCATGTGATTCTGACATATTTTTCCATATTATCACTTTACTATTACATATTCGTGTCTACATTTGAAATGGCCATCAATCATTTCTTATATCAAAGTATTCAACTGAGTTATACTGATCTTCACAAACCTTTGGACAGTTGTTCTACCTCCTTTTGGTCTTCTCTGGCATAAACAATGGGCACAGCATATTTAATATTTTCTCCTGGAAAAAAAACGTAGATTAGCAGATGTAGCCAAGGTCATATTTGCTCTCAGCATATAATCACAAAATTCAACTGTGTCTAAATTATGCCACTTCCAATTCATTCACAAAAAAAGATACATCAGACACATACTCTCTCATTCCAAATACCGGTATATACAAAGTCTTTTTCAATCAATATACAAGTCACCCTTTGAGTTGCTGAATCTGGTAAACAAATGCAAAATATAAGTTATATTTTCAACTCCATATGCACATGTATTTGCTGGAATTTACTGAATGTATATTATATTCCCTAACCTTACTTACTTTTTACATTTTACAATACATGCACAATTTTGACCAGATTTCCTTTGCTGAGAATGTGAAATAATATATAACTATTTCTGTTGCGGTAGCAATTTACATGGCATTAATACATTTCTTTCAAAGTAATAAACCAGGTTACACTCATCTGTACAGACCTTTCGATAGATGTTCTATCCCCTTTTTATACTTAGTGTCAAAAGCTATGGGCACATCATGCTCCACTTCTCTCACTTTCTCTCCCATCACTGGAAATACACAAGTATTATATGAATGCTTCTTATTTAGGTAAGTAAAATGTTATATATTATGATATAACCTTTAACTTACATTCTACAATATAACTTTGACCAGACTTCCTTCGCTGAGATTGTGAAATACATGTATATTGTATTGGAATATCACTGCTACAGCAGCAATTTAAATGACATAAATAAATTTCTTGGTTCAAAATACTGGACTGGGTTATATTCATCTCCACAAACCTTTCAATAGTTGTTCTTTTTTCTTTTTATCCGTGCCAAAGGCTATGGGCACACCATGCTCCTCTTCTCTCACTTTCTCTGCCATCACTGGAAATACAAAGGATGATATGTAATTAAAATAAAAAAATAAAAATAATAAAATCAAATAAAATCAAAAAATAATAATAAAATAAATTAAATCCAAATAATGGTGCTTCGAGGGGTTTATATATCAAAATGTATGACTCTATTGCAAGCATATTCAATTACAGCAATCATGGCTTAACTCACACATCACTTCAGACAGTTTGTTACATTAGGATTTTTTCTCTGATCCACTAAGATAATGCAGAAATATTCATGGTCATGATGTGAGATAATGCTGTTGCATCAAATATTATGTAGCATGTAGAAAAAAGACTCCGTCATGCAGTATTTGGTATACAGCATGTTGACATGTATAAATGCTGCACCCCTACTCCAGTAATTTCAACTTGGAGCCCAGTGTATGTATATAGATTCATATAGCTAGCTATCATTACAAATCTTGCAAAAACAAAACCTATGTAGTCATGCATTTTAAATTTAAAATTCAATTTCAGGAAGCATGATCTACAAAAAACTCATATCATGCCAAAAATGGAAACTTATATTTTAACAACCTTTCCAAAGGAAAAAGATAAAACTTACACAATAAAAAGTTGGGTGCTTTGTATCACAACCCTGTTCAAGGAATAATACAGACATTGCAAGCTGGCAATGGCTACCGAGTAGTGGAAAAGAAGATAATAACCACACAAGGCATGCTTTAAACAGATAGGTTTTATCTTAATATTATCTTTAGAGTCTGAATTGGAAAATGTAAAAGGTTTTATAAGACATAAATAAGACTGTGGGCCATTTATACAAATGTGTTGAGAGAATCTCTACATATAAATTTTGGCAACAAAATCTCACAAGTGTCTATTTAAAGTTCAACAATGTTTATTAGGAATAAGATGCAAGAAAATATATCAATGTCTCCAAGGCTCTATTCCCATAGATTTTAGATCGATCTATCCCCGCGGGGAGTCTCACTAGATTACTTTCAGACAATCCGACTTAAATGTCCGTCCAGCCTACTACAAGCTTTAAGGGGGTAATTAACTTTATTGTCCGCCCGGCTGACAGCTATTTAGCGTGAACCCCCAGGGAGTTAGGTCGATCTAAAGTAGGTTGATCTAATCTATGGAAATGGGTGAGAGTACATGTACTTTGAATCAACATGGAATCAGTGAACAACTATCCTGTTACCAGGACCGTTCTGAGTCTTTTCTATATAGCTACAACCTTTGTACTGTCATCACAACATTCCAATCAGAAAAACTACATCTTTTACTGTCCAAAAAGGACAAAACTAAAAGGGATAACAATTAGAACTGTTCATTTTGGCCTAAAAAATGGATTTTCCTGGGGTAAAGGACAATTTTCTCATACTTACCAATGGGTCTATTCCCTCATTCAAAGTTAATACCTGTTTTCTTTTTTTTTTTCTGTAATATTCTCTTAAGAGATTATTACAGAGTCTAGCCATCTATGGAGGTCACGTGATGTGATAGCAAACACAAATTGTAAAATAATTGCGTTAATCACCGTTTTGGGTGGTAAAATGGAATTTATAACATTTCTATATATGAGCTGTTTACAGTGCATTGTTGTGAAATATGGGTAATTTACGAACAGCTGTTATCTCTTTAGTTTAACTAGATAATTATTCGGTACGACCTCATAACGTATGTGACTTTGAAAGCGAAAGTACATGTAGCTCATAAACTTGTAGTTTTTATACTCTCTCGCCTTTTCTTCGCCATCCAGGCGCTTGTTACTATTACACAAAGTATCTACGTGACATGTGCAAGATGACGTTCATAAAGTTTTAGATACCTTACCGCAACAGGCTGTTCTTTCCTATCAGTTTGACCTCCCAGCTCTCTGATCTGCAGAGCCTAAGGTAAACAACATAAAAGTAGGTCATGGCCAAAGTATGACGTAGAGCGATGACGTATACCAAGGGTTGTATATAAAATAGAACCTGGCACAGAGTCTCAAAATGTCACGTGCACTCCAGCGCGGACCTTTTATATCTTTTTTGATCAAATGTATGATAATTTGATATAGTTTGTACGTTCACTACGTGTCTTCATGTAAGAAGTCTTTTATTTGTATATTTTATTAATGCGTTTATTCCATTTTTGTATTTTAAAACTCAGAGGTCTGTGCATTAATTATAGGCCCTATATAAAGGTGACCGATAAACTTACAAATTTTATTTAAAAAGACGGGTTTATGTTCCCTCGTGTGTGAAGGGAAGGGGTGCAGGTGTGACAGAAATGGAAGTCCTGGTGTACCTTTAAGTGATGGGGAATGGGCTACGCACGGTTCCCAGTGTAGGGGCGGATCCATTATTAATAATATTATTCATGAATTAAGAGGGGAGGGGGGGGGGGGGGGGGCCTGGACCGAAAACCCCGGGGGGGAAGCCGAACCTCCCCCCCCA